TATGCTATTTAATTGTTTAACAAACATATTACAGTAAATAAGTTCATATAGGCTATAATTATGTTCTTTTATTGTTCATGTAAATGTATCATGTTTTATCATTAAAAAATTACATTTATCAAAAAAATATAATTTCAACAATAAGCGACATTAAATTTAATAACACCACATAGTTCACATCATAACCTAAATAACGTGCAGGTGTACACCAGTGATTTGTGGTGATCATATGCAAACAGGTCCAACAGGTCTGTCAGCTTTAGATCAATAAAAAATCCTGGCATTCAAAACAAAAGGCATCTCAAAAACCCATGCATTCTATATTTCACTTTAAGTGAATTTAGATTTCATTCACACAGAGAGAGACATGACACGCAGCACAGTCGAATTAAAAAAGTGCTTTAAAAAAGTTGAGTCTCCAGACATGTCTGTAAAGGAACTTGTTAACTTGATACGCCATTAAAAAAAAGACCCTGGGGAAAAAACATATCTTCAACAGCTGTAGCACAGTGTAATAGAAAATAATACTTTTTTTTTCCTTTTTAAAGTTGAATGTTTCCACACAGTGAAAAAGAGAACTCCAGATTAATTCTGTGTGAACCATTCCTAATTGTAATTAGACAATGCAGTTTACAAATATCTATATAACACTGTGACATATTGTCTTGACATTAAAATGACTAATGCATCTTGAGCTCATGACTCAGCTTTCTCTCACAGCTGAGACAGCAGCTCTTGACAGGATGAAGGCCGTGATTGTGTTGCTCGTACCTCTTCTGCTTCCCTTGGTCTCTGCTCAGACATTTCGTTGGGGCCCCTGCCCAACACCAATGGTCCAGCCAAACTTTGAATTAAACAAGGTAGGACTATGCAAATATAATGAATCTTAAAGATAAAATTCAGCCCCCAAAATTGTTATTATTCACTCAACCTCATGTCTTTCTAAATCCAAATGCTGTTATTTTGTTTGGTTCGGAATGGCATGAGGGTGAAAAAATAATGACGGAATTGCAATTTTTGGGTGTAGTGTGGCCTTAATTTTGTACAGTGCACTTATATGAGCTTTACCTTTCACTCCAAGTACCTTGGAAAGTGGTATGAAATTGAAAAGCTCCCAGCATCCTTTGCGAAAGGCAAGTGCATTGAGGCAAACTACATGCTACGACCTGACAACACTGTCCAAGTTGTCAATGTTCAGACATAGTGAGTAATTAAATCTTTTGACTTAAATAGAACTTGTGTTTTGTCACTATCATTTAATCATAACTAAATTGTGTGTTTATATAAAACAGCAAAGGAAAAATTAGAAAAGCAGAGGGCACAGCAATCACTCAGGACCTGAGGGAGCCAGCAAAGTTTGGAGTCAGTTTCTCCTACTGTGAGTCCATGAATGTGCTGTGTTTGTGTTCAAACAACACATTTCTAGAACACCGTAGAATCTTTTTTCACTTTTTTTGAAGAGTTCTTTTGTTAATTCACCATCTGCTTCTTTTTTATATGTATGCAGTCACTCCCTACACCCCATACTGGGTCCTGTCTACTGACTACAACAGCATCGCACTTGTTTATTCATGCACTGATGTCCTCCGGCTCTTCCATGTGGACTATGCCTGGATCCTGTCCCGCTCACGCATTCTGCCCGCAGAGGCCATCTACCATGCCAAAGAGATCTTCTCACGTGACCACATTGACGTGAGCAAAATGATTCCCACAGATCAGCAAGGATGCGATGGTCCTATTTAGACAGAAAAGACTGAAATATATATATATATATATATATATATATATATATATATATATATT